ATCTGTTCCAGTACCTATCAGATTTACAGGAATTACTGAGAAGTCGTTCTCGTACATATATGGGTACGGTGACCATCCGTCCTGTATTATACGGGACAGACCTCTTTTTGGACCAATTGTCCTGGTCATTTCTTTATTTTACACGGGACGCCAAATGTTCTGTATTCCTTTTCATGTCCTGTATTTGTCCCGTCTTCAGTGTTCGGCATTTCGATGCCTTAACACCCCATTAAAATGGCATACCTATGAACCAGTTTTAAGTGATGTTGGTATGTACATATATGATCGTAATTTTTTCATAAACAGTTATTAGTTTCCAATCTGAATGCCTGCGATTAGAATCGAGAAATATATACAGTGACCCAAATATCAGGGTTGGGCACAATGCACTAAAAAATTAATGCAATACGCTTTTCACTACCACTGTCTATTCAGTGATAGTTAAAATGCTGAATCCATTATCACTGAAAATTTTAGTGATAGTGAAAAAAATGCACTATCACTGAACATTTATGGATAGTTAAAAACAGATTACATTATCACTAAACCCTTAGTGACAGTAAAAAACTATTTGCACTACCACTTAATATTTAGTGAAAGTGGAAACCTTTATTGATAATTAAAATTTTTCAGCAAAATGACATTGCTTTTGTCTGTAAACAAGATTTATGGTTATGACATAGTTCTTCTTGAAGAATAAAGTAAGACTATATTAGTTGAATCAGTGAAAAAAAAACATATTCAAAATAAACAATATTCTTGAGAAGAGACTTCTAATTATAGTACGTCGCTTCAAAAATATAAAAACATAATTCATTTTTTATTTGCCTTTTTTAGTACCAACATTTCAAAGTTTTGGTCAGAAAGATTTTGCCTTGTCGATCGATTGGCAATCCCAGCAAAGGAAAAAAGTCTTTCCACTGGCGCAGATGAAGGAAGAGGTGTATTATATTTTAAAAACATTTTTTTATAGTAGGAAAGCGATGCAAAGCTTCAATGCTCCTATCCTCGTCATTCAGGTACAAAACTACTTCAGTTGCTATAGCTCCGCCATGGCAACATGTATACCGATTTTCATCTAAAAAAGCAAATTATTTACAAAACTTTTGCAGGTTGATTTCTTTTAATCAAATACCTGTAGACTCCTCATCGAATTCGAGAAATGATGTATTAGCACTTATGGAAGGCTGTAAATTATTATCTTCCCCTACCGGTTGTCTTTTAAACTCCATCGCATATTCTTTAAATTTATCCCGAACATATTGTAGAGTGTATATCAGCACTTCCAGCAAACTTTTGCAAAATTTTAGTTTGATATCGGGAATGAGAAATGCTGCAATAACTGCATCCCAAGAGTCAGAGTGCAAACTAAAATATTTTTCAAACCTTTCATTAGCTTTGATTGCATTTGAATATTAGTTTCCGTCAAATATTTCATGTTTTCGGAAGCTAAACGTCGCATTTTTATTTTTATGGACAGTAAAGTTGGAATAAAGTAACCAAAGAACATATTTTGCTCTCTTTGGATGAAGTCGATAGCTTCTGCATTACTTTTGCATATTCTTCCAAATACTCAATTTATTCCTCATTGAAAGTAAAAATTTCCAGCTTATAGCATAGTTCACCTAATCTGGTTTTTACTTCTATTAACTTCTGAACCGAATCGTACAATGAGTTCCATCTTGTAACGCAAGGCGTAACCAGATTCGAAGATATAACTGTTTTTATTATTTCCGCAGATTTTGGCCTATTACACTTATTCCATAATTTTGTACACCTGAGTTAGGAAAATGTAAGAAGTTAATATATATACATGTTATAGATTTAACCTTACTTCCTTAGAGGGTCATTTTTGATACTATTCTTTCGTTTATATTAAACTACCCTATAATAGGACCATATAGGCAAATCTCTGAAAATTTGACTGAAATCTATCCAGTAATTTTTGAATTAAGTGCAATCATGGAAAGGGCTATTGTTTTACATATGTAGATAATATATTAAATTCACAGTAAAGGTTGGATTAAAAATAAAGCTATGTCTAAAGTTGAGCATTTCTATTATCGGTTTTTGACGTATGTATGTTTCTTGGTTGTAAACCAATTTAAAACCGATAATAAAATTCTTTATTTTAGACATAATTATAAATTTTAATGCAACCTTTAAATATAAAGTGAGCTTTAAAGTGACAGGTTACTTAAGAAAACGGCCCTAAGAGTAACAGCGTTACACTTTTGTGCTTTTTTGGAGTTTTTATTATTTTAAAGTTGGGTACAAATAACGTAACTTTGGATTAGCGTTTTTCATTTGCACATGTAAATTGGCTATCTTCGCTTGGCTAGTTTCACTAAAAGGTTAGTGATAGTGAGTTTTTTCTAACTATCACTAAAGCTTTATTGATAATGCAATTTGTTTTTCACTATCACTAAATTTTCAGTGGTAATGAATTCTGCATTTTAACTATCACTGAATAAACACTGATAGTGCAATTCAGTGGTAGTGCAAAAATGCCCAACCCTGCCAAATATATATGACAATTTTGCAACGTTTGGCTATTTTTCTTTTGTTTATTTTATGTTTCTTATATTTGTTTATGGAAGTAAAGCTCTTCCTAACGAAAACCATATAAATCCAAATTTCTGACTTTGTGCAAAAAACTATAAAAATTAAAAAAAAAAAAATTCAATATAATAAAGTGAAAGTGCAACTTTGTACTTATTTGTACGAAAAAAATGCGTAATACCGTAAAAAAAATTCCAAAAATTAACGGTAAATCCTAGCTACTTCAAACTTGCACTTTATTGTACTAAAATTTAAAGAATTTTTTGTAACAAATTTTGTGGGGCAAAAATCTCCAGAAAAATATTCTTTAAGTTTGAGATGTTACTTTAAGGGCCGTTTTCACTATCTCTGATTAACACTAATCTCCAGTTAAACATCGTTACCGACGTTATCAACACAATGTATTCGGCCCCCGTAAATATGGTCACCGTAACAATGGGTCATATTCATAGTCGAACTAAAGTCGATTATAAAGTTAGTTGCTGCTATTCAATTGCAAATTAAAGTAATGACAAAAAGCAGCAACTAACTTTAGTGTGGACTTCATTTAGGCTATGAATACGCATAATTCAGTTATATCTTTGAGCGATGAAGCTCTCCAGTCGTTTCCCATTGCTTGAAGAAACACCGAAAAATAATGTTTTATTTTCTGAGCAAAAAATAAAACTTAATAAATAACCATTATTTTCTGAGCAAAAAGAAAAAAATACAAAAACAAAACGATTATTTTCTGGACAAAAAATTAAACTCAAAAAATGAGGATTATTTGCCCTGCAAAAAATTAAATTCAAAAATTAGCTGTAATTTTCTGAATAATAAATAAAACTAAAAAATAAATATTTAACTTGATTTTTTAAGTAAAAATCTAACAATAAAAAATCAGTGCCTCTGAAGTAGGGTTGCCAACCGTACTATAATATATAGTATTGTACTATTTTTTGGGTCTGCGTACTATATACTGTTGGAAAAAAATATAGTATGCAAAAATACTATAGTTTTTCAGTTACAAATATAAATATATTTCAGGAATTTTCAAGAAAGAAATGTTTTAAAGTAGATGATATTTATACTGAAATAACAATATTAAAAGAAATATACCTTCAAACAACGGGTCTACAGATCAAAAATGGCAACATTTTTAAAAATACTCAGAGCCAAATTCACAGTTTTTACTAAAAATCTGTAGTTAACTGTCGATTCTGAGTTAACTACGCACTGTGAATTTGGCCCTTAGAAAGATTTACCAAATTTACTTAAAATTATTTCGCTTATGCTCCTTACAGTTTTTTCTACTAAGATTGTGAAGTGGTGAGATGGGAGAAATAAAGCGACTATCTCACTAATAAAATACGAACTTTTGATTTAATTAATTAATTTAAATATTGATTGCGATAATGCATATGATGCTTTCAAAGAAATTTATTTTTTTTATAGAGGAAATGCATAAGAAAGAAAAAAGATGTACACTTAAAAAGCATTTTTACTTTTTCCTTAAAAAGTAATAAGATATATCGTCGCTGGAATAAAGAAATAGTGTAACATGAAAAGTATAGTTTTGAGAAAAACGACTTGGAAGTTTTTATAAACCATTACAAACCATGCAAATACAATTTCGTTTTTCGGGAATAAATTAGTGAACCAAAGTGATATTTAAGAAAACTAAAGATTTTTCTAATAGATTAAAGGATTGTCTATCCAATGGTGCAATTATCGAATAATAGTGTATGTGGCTTTACACTGTTTCTTTATTCGAGCGACGATATATTTGAAGTGAACTATATTTTTTCAGATTTTTTTTCAAAAAGTACTGTAAGTTTCTTTTAAAATGTTGGCAACCCTACTCTGAAGGTATTCCGTATAACAAGAAGTCTGTTGGTTTACTCCTTATGTACGTAGCGTTTCTCTTTCAGTGTGATTTTGTGAGTTGAAGCTTAAAATATAATCGTTATTTGCGGTCCCTGCTTAAAAGCGACCGTAATTATAATACAATGTTATATATTGGCGAATAACACAAATACATAAACAAATAATATATTCTAATTTCACAACTTATTCTTACTGAAAATCTGAAAAAATCATAAAACAAAACTACACGTATGTATACATATGTATGCATATGTATGTAAATATGTGCGCATTCGGGACCATTTAAGAGTGTGCCAACTTAAAAATGTATATGTCGTTACCTTAATTCACAAAGGTCCTAAAATTTGAAAGTGTTAGTACCAAAAATCGGAGCTATACCACTTTTTCAAAGGCCCTATCCGTACGCACGATTTTCTTTTGATAATGTTTTTTGCATCTCCTGTAAAATATAAAAATTTCTTGTTGGGGCCTTTTGTGAAATAGGGTAACGATGTGTATCTGTAATGTAGCTTATAAAACTTTATTAAACTTTGCCGAGAATAGCTTATATAAAATCCTTCCTATTTTTCTAGGAACCACGATGCAGGGACACAAGCACAAATTTTGCACAAAACTCTACAGCACTTATCTACGAAAATGGTGTAAGTATGTAACGAAAATCCGATTTGATAGCCATATATGTACTTCTTAATATATGCTCTGAGAAAAATGGTTAGATTCGACAACTAAATATATCGTCGTTTAAAGTACAAAACCGCATATCAAGATAATGCAAAACCGCGTATGTGAGCACGGTTGCCACTTTGGTACAATTGTACCAAATATGAGCCGTTCTTCGCCGTTTGGGCCTTTGGGCCTTTTTTGTTTGTTTGGCCCTTTTTGAAACAAGTGTGGCTATCCGCTCTTTTGGCGTTGGCGAGAGCTATCCGTTTGTTTGAAATATGCAGCACTCGCTGCAGCTGTTCGGTTTGTTCTTTTAAGTGATAACAATGATGATCATCGTTTTAATAGTTAGAAACTCGAAAGGATACAAGTAATTTTTAGCAAAAAAAAACGACTTCAACTCTCATATAAAAAATATATATATATATATATATCTCATTATCCACTGATCGGATCTTAACCAGATTAGTATGGGACCACCTCTGAGACACTACCTTTCCGATGCAAAAATAATTATCGAAATCGGTTGACGTGGTCCAAAGTTATGCGGTAACATAAAAAAAAAAAAAAAAAATATATATTCCGACGAACTGATAACCTCCTCCTTTTTTCGAAGTCGGTTAAAAATAGTCAAAGATTCAAAGTACAAATTTTTCATATAATGAAACTAGTTCATAGTTTTTCTCTTTTTACTTGTAATATANACATTTCTAAAATAAATGTATTTTTTGATTGTTCTTCGTATTTTCTGTCTTTTTTTAGTGCCTTATTTTGCTTTTTTTGCAATACCTAGTGCCTTTTCCTGCCTTTTACGCTATTTTGTTTTGCCTTTTTTGCAATACCTAGTGCCTTTTCCTGCCTTTTTCGCTATTTTATTTTGCCTTTTCCAGCCTATTTCGTTATTTTATTTTGCCTTTTTTATAGGTTTTTAGGTCCTAAAAATCCGTTCCCTGGTTATCACCATACTGATCTCTATATTTTCGCAGTAAATACATGTGTACAATGTTCACTGTACATATCGCACACCGTCTTCAAGAGAGAGATTATGCGATAAAAATGTACACAGAGCTTTTATTTACCTTTCAGCAAAAGCTGGAGCCAATTTTTGTTATAATTTGTTTAAAAAACCTAAATTAAAGTCGCCATGCCCATATGATTATCATGTGCTAAGAAATAGTTTTTCGCATTTCCTGACAAACGTATTATTTTGAGTTGTGACTCTTTTAAAGACGGTGTGCGATACGTACATATGTATGTACAGTCAGTGTCAAATGTTAGTGTACACCTTGTTCTAATATAATATTCGCAATTATTTTCATGAAATTTTTTTCATTAATTACACTGGATCACAAACTTTAATTTTGTTTTTGTTCTCCACATGCCACTATCCAATTTGTATGTAGAATCGCTCGCTGATTCCCAAAATCGAATTAGTTTTTAGTTTATGGATACGTTTTCGAGATATTTGAAATTTACCGTTATTCAACTAAAAAAAAAGAGTGGTTCCACTTAATCACGTATATATTACGAATCAATTGAATAATCGTAATACGAGGTACGGCAAGTGAAAGAAAATCAAATTCTCCATAAACCTGATAGTTTCTGAGAAATTAATTAATTATTCCAGATTTTTTTATTTTTTTAATGAAAAAAACAGAAAAAATTCAAACTTTAACAGGGAAAAAATGAAAAAAAAATAACAGTTTCTGTGTAAATTAAGCTACCAATGAAGAAAACCGATTGATAAATAAGAAAGTAATGACTGGTCAAATGAAATAGCGCAAGTATTTTTTTTTATATGAAACTAGCAGACCCGGCGAACTTCGTCCCGCTCAAAGTTATTATTTTTTTATTGAAACATTTGGTCCAACGTTTTCACCAACAATTCACGTTCACGTTTGGGTTGGTGTTCGTCTGAAGGCATATCCTCCATAGCTGTCTTAGATAACCTAACGAAAGCGTTATGTCCGCGAAGAAGTTCTTGCGACAGCAATGATCTGGTTAGTTGGTGGCAATTTCAAAATGGGGGAGTATGGCCTATAGAAATCCAATGTACATAGACTTATTTCAGACTAAATACCTTAAATATCTTACAATTGTATTTGCAGGTATTCATCAAGAATATTCCTTATTCTGTTTAGTGGTTGATTCAACAGTGGTGATTTGACGTTGATCCCTGATCTATATGTCTCCAAATCGGATCATATATATGATTTTTAGTAATAACTCGACTGCGCCGCCACCGGGCGTTTTAAGTTGTGAACCTAAACTATACGGCTCCCTGTACACATAAAAAAATATATTTAAAATAGTTTCGGTCGTTTAGGAGGAGTTCATTCTGAAACACACGTACCGAAGAATTACATACATATGTATTTACAAATAGGTAAAGTTTCAATAGATTTGGAAGGCACCACGCCCCTTTTTCCAATAGCCCCTACTTTTCTCCATGAGTATGAGAGTGATTTCAAATATTTCCATACCAATTTTTAGGACTCTTCAGCAAATACTTCCAGAGATATGCGATATGAAAAATTCGATTTCTATGGGAGATGCTACGCTTCATTGAAATATCGACAATATTATCAGCCTATAACCATCCTATAGTTCTACAGTTCCCTAACCCAATTTTCAATAGTTTTGTTAATTTTAAAAAAAAAAGTTAAAAAAAAAAACAAAAATCGCTTCTAACTTCACGCGCAAGCCTTTATTCAGCAAAAACAGTTCTGATACGACCTACTTACCAGAAGTAAAGAGTTCTACAGTTCCAATCCAGAAAAAAAACAAAAAAAATTGTTACATACATTTTTTTGTAATTACTTTTTAAGAATTTAGCCGCCAGGTGGCCGCATCGGCATTTGATAACACTAGTTTATACGAAAAGTTAAACTTTGTAAAAAAGTATTTTCTGGGCTCACTTTGGGTCGCTGAATATGAAAACAATACCCATTCTTTTTTTGAAGGAAGCGTTTTCGAGATTTTTTCGAAAACATGTTTTTGGTACCTCTCGCAGTTATTTGTTACTAATCTTTTGAAAAAATCATTTAATCGACAGAAGCAGCCTACCGTTCAAAAGGTATTGATGTGCCCTTTGCAGATTTAATTAAAAATTATTATTGTTACTAGCGACCAAAATCGAAAAAAGTGAAATTTTCAATCATTTTTGAAAAGTACACATTTTAGATGGTAGAAATTACGAGCAAGTACCTTTTAGAATTTATCGGCCCTTCGAACACATTTTTTGAGAACAAAATTTGTTTTTAAAGGGCAGATAAATTTTTAGACTACTTGAGAAAACGGCCCACAGTGGTTCGGATAGCAGATCTAGCTGGACGAAAATCAAATTTTGTTTTGTTTTTAAAATACTTAATGGTACTTGGAATACATTCCTGACAATACATTCAAATAAAAATTGCATTTATTAAAGCATTAACATATGAAAACAAACAATAAAAGGTAAGTCAACGCCGCCT